TCACCGCCTCCCTTGGCTGATCCAACCCCCTTCCATCCATCTCTCCCTCTACACCTCCGTATTTACTCCTCCTTCCTAGATATATCCTCCCCATTCCCTTGCCACTCTCCCCCTACTTCTCCTAACCTCCTTCCTCCCATCCCTGCCTCCTCCGAATCTCTCTCTCCCTCATCTTCTCTCTCTCTCCCTCTTAATCAAGACGCATCCCAACTTGTCGACGACCCTCCAATCAAAGGAGATTTGGAGGGACGCTTTCTGCCCCAACCCATGCTATACCAGAGGACAACAGATTGGGGCTGTCATCATTCATCATCATCCCCTTTTGCAAATGCTATGAGCGGTCGCCAGCTCAGGACAAGAGCTGTCATCAATAATGGACAAAGGTCGGGAACAGCGGTAAGCTTATCATTCAGGTTGGCATTATCAAGGTAAGCACCCTTTTCTTTTTTACGTTCCTTACCTTAATGTTGAAGATGGTGTAATCCAAAAGAGGCAGCAGATTAGGGTGCTTGAATCTCTTTGACGATTCAATCTCCTGTTTGACCAGCTGCATTTGCTCGTCTGTTTGTATCAACACCTTTTTCACTGCATAGAATCCATCATCTGGCAACAATACAGCACAGCAATACAAAAGAGTAGTGGATAAGATGGAAGTAAGAATAAAACACAATAGAAAAGAGTAAGAATACTACTGTGTGCAATACAAAAGAGTAGTGGATAAGATGGAAGTAAAATTAAAAACACAATAGAAAAGAGTAAGAATATTACTGTGTTGATCAGGTGGAAGTAACAGTACAGCTCCTCTGTGTGTATTAAGGACTGTCAGCACAACAGCCCCTTTTCCACTACAGATGAGTAGATCCACCAAAATTGAAACAGCCTCACCTTATAATCGTCTATGTGTGCACAATGCACACGTGCGTGTTATTTGTTGTCATGTCCGCTATGCACAACTCCACAATAAATGCATGACTGTGTGTCTGCCTGTGCACGCACGTTGCGTTCAGACATAGCCCCCTTCCCCTCCACCCTTTCCCCCCTCTCCCCTCCTCCCCCCCCTTTGCACATGCATGCACACAGGCCCACACACACAGAGTCATGCTTTTTTTGTGGGGCTGTGAAAAGCGAACATGATAACACACACACACAAGCACACACACACACACACACACACAGAGTCGCTAACTCTGGGCGATGTGGTGATACTCCTTATCCAGCAGTCAAACGAATCCTGGGCAGACTGTCCGTCCAGGTTCAACCTCCTGCCTGATGAGTCGGTGAAAGTCCGACGAAACAGTCTGTTCGGCACAGTTATGCTTTTTTTGAGTGAATAGCGAATATGACACAACACCACCACACACACACACACACACACACACACACATACACACACACACACACACACACAAACACACACACACGCCCACACGCACGCACACACAGAGGCATATATATATCGTCACACCGTGTATCGGAGCGCAAAGGCGAAAAAAGACAAAACAAAAAAAGGAAGGAAGGAAGGAAGGAAAGCTCCGCCTGTTCATCACCTCTTACGTACAAGGCCGGCCACGTGGAGGACAGGTTGAGCACCGGCTGCCCCCATCCCCGTGTGTCACAAGGACCAACTTGCACGCAGCCAAAAGGCAACGAGAGGTAAAGAAAAGGAGGAGGACACCAAACCTCACAGAGGCAAGAGAAAGACAAAGGGATTCCGTCAAAGAAAAGGACAACGGAAGAGGAAGGCCTATCAGTCAAACAAAGCAAATAACACACCCCATCTTTTTTTCTTTTCTTCGGCAATTTGTTCTTTTTACCTTCTTTTCTTCTTTCTTCTTCTTCTTCTGCCTCCCCTTCTTCTTCTTCTACATTCTCTTTCTTCTAGTCCTCCTACTTCTTCTTCTTCTTCTTCCTCCCCTTCTTCTTCCTCCCCTTCTTCTTCTACATTCTCTTTCTTCTAGTCCTTCTTGTTCTTCTTCCTTTTCTTCGTTTTCTTCTTCTTCATCTGCGCCCTCTCGACGTCGTCTTAATGCTAATCTGCCAAAAGGTTCTTTGTCTTGCCGACCGCGCCAGATCAGACCCGGCTCTCCAATGGTGACCGACGATAACAGAAAAGAGGGCAATGATACGAACCTTTCTTCCCCTTCTTCTTCTTCTACTTCCTCTGCTTCTAATTCTTCTTCTCTTCTTCTTCTTCTTCTTCTTCTTCTTCTTCTTCCTCTTCTTCTTCTTCTTCTTCCTCTTCTTCTTCTTCTTCTTCCTTTTCTTCCTTTTCTTCTTCTTCTTCTTATTATTATTATTATTATTATTATTATTATTATTATTCCTTTTCTTCCTTTTCTTCGTTTTCTTCTTCTTCTTCTTCTTCTTCTTCTTCTTCTTCTTCTTCTTCGTTTTCTTCTACTACTTCTTCTTCTACTACTANTCTTCTTCTACTACTACTACTACTTCTTCTTCTTCTTCTTCTTCTTCTTCTTCTTCCTTTTCTTCGTTTTCTTCTTCTTCTTCTTCTTCTTCTTCCTTTTCTTCCTTTTCTTCTTCTTCTTCTTCTTCTTCTTCTTCTTCTTCTTCTTCTTCTTCTTCGTTTTCTTCTTCTTCTTCTTCTTCTTCTTCTTCTTCTTCTTCTTCTTCTTCGTTACTTCTTCTTCTTCTTCGTTTTCTTCGTAACTTCTTCTTCTTCTTCTTCTTCTTCTTCATATATATCGTCACAAAGATATCAGAGCGCAAAAGCGAAAAAAACAACAAAAAAGATATCAATTCAATTTTTATCTTCTTACTTACAAGACTCCCCCTGTTCAGAACCTTTTGCGTACACGGCCGCCCACGTGGAAGTAGGTTGAGCGGCGGCTGCCCCCACCCCCGTGTGTCATATCGACCCACTTGCACACAGCCAAAAGGCAAAGAGGCAAAGAAAAGAGGAAGGGAACAGCCAAATTTAACAAAACAGGGGGAAACAAACATAACAACATCCTAGATGCCAAGTCCCACATGCAAGCACCGCCCCCCCCCCTCCGTCTTATCATCAAACATAACTGCGGTTTACTGCGCGGTAAACCGTAGGTAGAGAGGGAGGGAGAGGAGGACAACAAACGAGGGACTGACGGTCACACACAGACTTACTGTATATATGGCGATAGAAGTCATCATCCTACCTTCTTCCCCCGAATACAACGTACGGTCATTATAGCTGTATCTAGACTGAAAGGTGGCTCACATACAGCTATAATGACCGTACGTTGTATTCGGGGGAAGAAGGTAGCCGACTCTTGCTTCTCGACTTAGAATTAACCTCCTCCGTTCGATGTAGACCTAATATGTTTCTAAATTTAGAACAACGACTGTCAGGCCCCCTAGTGTCTTCTGAGGATGATTAGTCCTATGTTTCCCGATTTAGAATTAACCTCCTCCGTTGGATTTAGACGTAACTGTCGCTTCTGACCTTCCCCGCCCCCAATCCTCCCCTAAAAACGGAATAACTTGGACTCAACCTGTGAGACCTGAAGCATGATAATACCGTACCGACAAGAAGAGTTTCTCGGCTGAATCTAGTCGCAAAAATTACAATAAGATACATACATCCAGGAAAGTCCAAGTGTCTGTATGCACTTATCCCCACAGAATTCCAGCTCTTTATTAAAAAACTAAAAAATAAATATAAAAAAAAAATCCACGATCGCATACGAAAAGAGGGTGTGCATCGATTTCATTCCTTCTTTTATTCCCCTTTTTCCCTGCTACTCCGCCACGACCTCCCCCCCCCCCCCCCCCCCCCGCCACTTCACTTTTTCTGTGTTTTTTTTTTTTCGGTGGGCCACTTCAGTTTTTTTTTGGGTTCGCCACTTTTCTATTCCTCTGTTCTCCCCTTCCTGGTACTTTCTCACGTTTTGGTCATTTTTCACTTATATCCCTCCTTGGCTAGCTTTCCTTCGTGATTGCCCTCTTGGGCGGATGAACGAGAGTGAACAGTACTACCTTGAGAAGCAGGGCAAACCCACCTCATCAATCATCAATTGCTCGATTGCTTGATTGATTGATTGATTCATTCATACATTCATTAACTGATTGATTGGTTGGTTGGTTGAATGGTTGGTTGGTTGGTTGATTGTTTGATTAATTGATCAATGAACAATGTGGACGTCACTCAGCAGGGCAAACCCTTCCTCGTTAATCACCAGTTGATTGATTTTTGATAGACTGATTGTTTGACTTATTGATTGATTGATTGGTTGGCCGATTGTTTTGATTGATTGATACATTGATTGAGTAATTGAGTGAGTGATTGATTGCTTGATTGATTGCTTGATTGACTGCTGATTGATTGATCGATAACACGATAGACCTGCATACAATTCCGCTGGCCGAAATGTACCTTTCCCTTCGGATTTGCCTTCACCTGATTCATTCATTCATTCATTCATCATTCATTCATCCATTCATTCATTCATGGATTCGATCGATCGATCGAACGATTGATTGATTCATTGCTTGATCGATTGTTTTATATATTGATTGATTGATTGATTGCCTTATTTTGACTGGCTGATAATTATTTTTTCGATGAACAGTCGTAGATGTGAATACAATTCCGCTGGCCGAAATGTACCTTTCCCAGATGCGTAACTTGTTCAAACTCTCGTTGTAATTTTGTCCCGAGATCGGGACTGTTGTACCAGCCTGCCGTCTTCGGCCGAATAGAACGCCCGGTCATCATCGCCGCATCTGGACTGAAAATTGCACCAAAATACGGATGTAACGACCCGACGTCCGATTCGGGTGAAGACGGCAAACTCGAGACTCGATCAACGGGGGACAGATCTACAATCGCTAATTAAGTTCAGAGCTCAAATGTCCTGTCACAAACGTCAGGCCTAAGCCCTTAGCGACCAGGTGCATCATGTACAGTCCGCGTTTTCCGTATACATGCGTTTAGCAATCTGTATGTATGTATGTAGGAAGCCGAGGCACCTAAGCACCATCAAGAGAAAGAGAGAGAGAGAGAGAGAGAGAGAGAGAGAGAGAGAGAGAGAGAGAGAGAGAGAAGGGGAGAGAGAGAGAGAGAGAAGAATGAGGGAGCGCAAAAGCAAGGCTAGTTTACCTTAATCCATGCTTTCTCCTTCTTGTTTTGCCTTTTTTTTTGTCTTGCTATTAGGAGAGGCAGAGACGCAGAGAGAGAGAGACAGACCGACTGCTTTCTACCCCTTTTTTTTATTTAACTTGGTACAAGGAGAGACAGAGACGCAGAGAGAGAGACAGACAGACAGAGACAGACAGACAGACAGAGATAGAGCACGCCACGGACATGGCTAGAGACAGGCAGA